CCCCCCGTAGGGAAAAAATGTAGCACGTGGGTAGTTACGTAAGACCTGTGACGTATAACGCGCGCAAGGTTATTTAGCCGAGCTTCAGTGAAGATCGAGGGCAACCTCGAGCCGCTACCCAAAAATATCTTGCGTAGCGTCTCTCGGAAAACTCGGATTTATCATGGAATTCTAGACTACGTCGAGGTTAAATCAGTCGAGGTCTCTTAAATGCTGAAAGCTGAAGACAGTGATCATGTGACCTTCTAGGCATCAAGAGAATAGTGACTTTGCTTGCGTTACCAGTTGACTTTAAAATCTCTCACACTCTTAAATAATACACTTAAACTTTTCACGTTTAACAATTATTCTTTATAATTTTATTATACTAAGTCATATCATATATGGGTATGGTTTGAAAACGGGAATTTAGGGCGCATTCCCATAGATTTTAGATCGATCTATCCCCGTGGGGAGTCTCACTATAGATTACTGTCAGATAGTCCGGCTTAAATGTCCGTCCCGCCTACTACAAGCTGTAAGGGGGTAATTAACTTCCGTGCCCTCTCGGCTGACAGCTAGCGTGAACCCCCAGGGAGTTAGGTCGATCTAGTTGGATCGATCGAATCTGTAGGAAAGATATTTTCTGACAGTCTTCCAAATAATTTTTGTTGACCCATCTTCCATTTTTGACTGTCTAACGACAAAAGAAATTAGATACCTGAAGTTGAAAACCTGACCGTCGTCTGGAAGACCAAGAGGACGGCCTCAATCTGCCCATGAGGTTCGCTTGCCTCAGGAGTCGCTGATGGCTCTCTCTGTTTGCTGCAGTCTTGAGACGGGAATTCAAGTCTGGAAGTGGAAAGCAAGTGTGTGGATTATTATACCGGTTTGTTAGGGTGCAGACTCGGCTGTGCAGGCACCGGGTAGGATCCTGCAAAATAAGAAACAACATGTTTAATGGTCTTCTCGCGCTCGTGAACGCAAGCGTGCTACATGTGCATAGATGCACATACGTGCATGCGTGACCATACAAACACGAACGCAAACATGCGCAACTTGCAAGAACATTGCGTGCACACACATGCACACACAGAGAGAGAGGTTCTCTTGTAACTACTGCTACAAAAGTTCCCCGTTTTATATTTTATTTTATATCTGATAGTTGTTCCTGTTATCTCAAACACCTAAATAAACTACACCATAAACATTTTATGTTTTCATTGTAAACAGCCACCGTCTTCTCTATCGCAATGCGCAACACAAAAATTTCTTCAAACCAATGAGTTTTCAAACTAAGTCAATTAATTCATTTTTTGTTTTCTTTTTAATTGCTGGTTTCTTAAGCCGGCCAAGCTGACAGTAATCTAGTGAGACTCCCCACAAGGATAGATGGATATAAAAATCTATGGAAATGGGCTCTCTCTCTCTCGCTCTCTCTCTCTCTCTCTCTCTCTCTCTCTGTGTGTGTGTGTGTGTGTGTGTGTGTTTAACTTACCCGAACAAATCATAACCACAGTCAGCAGGCCTTTAATGATAATAACTGCAATGACTCTAACCTTCATGCTGTGCAGTGTGATGTGGCTGTAGCTGCTTGTGGTCTCACACTGTTATGCAGGCTTTCCTGTAAGGCTAAGGCTGCTCATTAACTTTCTCTTAATTTACTTCAGTTTCAAACACAAACATGGGGGTTTTGATAAAGCAACAATACAGGGAGATCACTGATGTTACTTAGAAACTATTAAGTACCTGCATCATATGAAGCGAACATTTTTTATTCTGCTTGAAAAAAGAAAATTTTATTTAACTTTACTCCATATTGTCCTGCAGTTCTAAATTCAAA